GTTTTGGACGAAACACGAAAATTCTGATTTATTTCTTGCGCCTGGACTGCATCCATGCCCTATGCCCTATGCTAGTTTCTATAGCCGTTGGGAGTAGTACAGGATTCTGGAACACCTACGAAATTCCATAATCCGGCAATTTCTATAGGTCCAGCAAATTCGAGATGTCCTGAAAATCTTATAAATCCCGTAAAGCCCGTAGATCCGACAGTTCCTCGTTGCCTAGGATCCCATACAACCCAAGAAATAGGCAGATTCCTGGAACGTGTTGAAATCCTATAGTGCTTATAGAAATCATAGAATCTGCAAAATGATGTCAGAACTTCCCTGCAAGTCGTAGAAATCGAACGGCTCCTAGAAATCACGAGAAATCAAGAAATCATGAAAATCCCTGGAGATCCCAGAAAGTTCTTGACCTCTGGATTTCCTAGAAAGCCTAGAAATTTTAGAATCCCAGCGCACCTGACATCCCAGCATTCCCCACAAACTGAAAGCTTAGCAGCGCATCCAAGGCAGAGCCCGGCTCGGCTTGGTGTGTCCCGGCAGCAGCAGTATGTATATTCGCCTGTGTGCAAGGCGGATTGCACGGCGTGCCAGCCAATCTATTGCTTGACCTGTGCACATCTAAGGAACACCTGAGATCCGCTCAATGTGCCTTGGCCGCATTTTTTTGCCTCTATAAGCATATTGCTAAGCAAGGAACTCACACTACCTTCCGAGCGCAGCGCAGAGGTTGCAAGGCTCCTCGCAATATTCAGCCCGCAGGGGAATGCACACGTAGCTAAGGTTGCAGAGGCCACGAATCAGGGCTCGAGTAAGCAAACGATGAGGATCTGTTTGTTGAGCAGAGTAAAAAAGTCATTGCAGCGCTGGGGAACATTCAGCCCTTCGTTTCATTCGTATTTGCATGTAACCTGCAGGCTTGCAGTGGCCATTCCGTAGTAATCGGCTTCTGCACCGTCCAAGACAGGGCGACTCTAGTTCATGACGTGTGTTGGCATCACAGACCTCGCGTCACTGCAGCAGCATATTGGCTCTGTGTGACATTTTAAAGCACTAGTCCAGACGGCGCTCTGCCTCGCAAGGCACTCAGGGATGGCTAGTTACGTGAGTGGACGGTCCAAATGCTGCGCGTTCGAGGTACGGCTCATGGAGGAAGGCGACGTTCAGCCGTTCCGCAGGCCTGGTGTCCCCTCCCAGACTGATTGTCTCTCGCTTCGTTGATAGCCGTGAGGCGCCGTGGACCGCGCGACCGCGCTGGAGCGCGGGTTAGACGAGAGGCCTCCTGAAAGAATTTTGGTATGCTTTGCACACGCGTACACACTGCGCACGCACATGCCCTTGACTCATGAGCAGGCTCAAGAGGCCGCGGCTCCAGCCCTGTACCCCGATACTGATGAGGAGGCAGAAGAGCATGATAGGGGTCGTGGCATGTGCACATGATGCAGCAGCAAGCCAGGCTGGGGTGCGCGGCTCTGATCAGGCACGACTCCTGGCGCCAGATTGGTTGCCACGCCTTGGAGGGCTGGTGCCTCAACTCGTGCGTAGACTCCAGAGGCTCCAGCGCTGTACCCCGATACCGACGAGGAGGCAGATGGGCATGATAAAGGCGTCGTGGGACATCGTGGTTCGGAGACGTGCCAAACGAGGAGGCAGAAGGGCATGATATAGATGTCATGGCACATCGCAGTTTGGTAGCATGCCGGGTGGGGGTGGCCTGGCGACTGATGAACGCAATCTTGAGGCCGAGCGTGTTGTCCATTTGAAGGTAGCCCGAGCAAATTCGGTCGCAGGTCCTCGGCCCGTTCGTCCTCGTCTTCCTCGAAGCGGGGCATTATCTGGTGCAGGACTGGCCCGGCTAGAACAGAGTTTGGGAAGGATCTGTGTCTCCTGCCTCGCAGGAGTCGTGCGCAGTGTACCTCTTCGCCCGACGGCTCCTTCCACAGAGTGACGGCATTCCCACTGCGCCTGGGCTACAGCACCACCCTACACAAGATTCAGGGTGCAACGCTACCGCATGTGACGATCTGGATGGACGTGCCATATGTCCGGGCAGCACTCTATGTTGCGTTATCGCGAGTTCAGCGAGACGGCGAGTGGCGCTTCATCGGGAGCATCGACCGACGGCACTGTGTGCCGGCGAAGCTTTGAACAGCAAATGCAAATCCCACAAGAGCGGACAGTCGTCAGGGCCAAGAGCACCTGTACATCATCAATCATGCCTGTCACGCGGTGCGGGCACAGTCCCCGCGTGCATGCGTATGTTGTAATCTTCACACGAGCAGAGCCCTTGTATCTCGCAGCCACAGCCCTGCGACCCCTCGGCATAAAAAGAAGTGATCTCGCAACCGCGTGATTTTGACATGCACAACTAGATATGGACCTCAAGCACCCACTTCAGCACCTGCCATCATGAGCTGCGCTGGCATCTGGCTCGTCGACAGACTTCTAGAGGTGGGGTCTTAATCAGTTGTAGTGTTATGTCACTGTAAGAAGACAGCGAAGCAGCATACCGTCTGCCAACTGCGCGCGGTTATCTGCGGTCGGCGCCCTGTTTGCAAGCAGCTGCACTTAGACCTAGTTTCCTATATTCCTCGACGAAAGTGGTCAATTTGAGGGCCGCAAATCTTAATTCAAGACAGGTTGGGATCTAGATCCCAAATCCTATATTATTTCGCTGAGTTCTAGTTCCATATTCCCTGAATCTCATTCCTGAATCCTATTAGCTGGCTCCAAGTCCAAGTCGCTAAACCCCATTCGCTCACACTACTCCCTCCTCGTAAGGTCCCAACTTATTTAAGGCTCTAATCTGAAAATGGTCCCTTACGAGGCCCTAATTTGCGATAGTCCCTTGCGAGAGCTTAAATTGCAATAGTCCTTTATAGGGCCCTGATTCCAAATGGTCTCCTATCCTTGAAGGCCTCAATTTTGAAATAATCCTTTATAAGGCTCCAATTTGCAATAGCTTAAATTGCAATAGTCCCTTATAAGACCCCAATTTGAAATAGTCCCTTATAAAGCCCTAAATTGAAATAGTCCCTTATAAGGCCCTAATTTGCAGTGGTCCCTTATAAGGTCCTATGTTGGAACAATCAATCCTATTCGTCTAGGATTTAGGCCCCAAATCCCATTCCTAAACCCTATTCGCTAAACCCT